GGTCGGTTTATCTGAAATTTCTGCGGCTGTTTTCCTTCGAACGAAATTAGCTCAAGAATTTTCACAGTTGGCAAAAATTACTGAGTTGAAAGCATAAGGTATTTTATCGACACAGCTTTTTTGGGTTCCATTGCTTAAATTGTAGCCATTTCATAACAATTTTAACACTCTTATACCGTTTCAACCTTAGAGAATGTAAGAGTGGACTCGCAATCAGATCGTTGAAAATGTGAACCAAGTGTGAACCAAGCTTTGAACAGTTCATGCATAATTAAATTATAAATAAATTCCATGGAAATTTTCCCCTCAATTTTTAATTTTTAAAACAGTCTATCGTACATGTTTCCATGACACTAAGTGACCTTTTAAATACACATTGACAAGTTGTGGCTTTATGTCGCTTTAGTCACGGGCTGAAGTTAGTTTTAAGTTAGTTGACAGTTGTAAAATGTCATACAATCGTTAAACTAAATTACCTTTCTTGTAAAATAATACTAAATGTGAAAATTATTTTATTATCTCAATACAAAAATACAAAAGTATTAAATAGTTTCTCAACGCCAATATTTGAAAAGTTTATATGAACATTGTACTGACCTTTTAATTTCGCCGGCAGTAAACTATAACTTAAATTCGGGCACGGACTCCACTGTAAAGTGCTCATAAAACATTTTCTTTACTTTCACTGTGAAAAACTGTCAATTTTCAAGAAATACATTTCGATTTATAACCTTTATAATTTGAAAATAAAAATTTGACATTTGACGGTGACACACAGATTCCCCTATTGTTTTATAGATGGCGCTCTATACAAATTTTTGATTTAAATCATTTTAAGATACCTAATAATAAGTATTTGTCGTAGAAAAAGTATAGTATGCACCTCGTTTATAAACTTTTCTATACACTCATTAATTTAAGCACTCGTGTATAAAATGGCGTTTATCAAACTTACATAATATACTATTATAAAACAAGAGTTTTTAAATAAAGTAACAAATTACTACGTTTCCATGTCGTACGGCCTTTAATGTCACTTCCATCTTATGTTTAATTTCTTCTATCCTACCACCTTTGATAGGTAGTTTGTGGTCTTTTTTGGAGCATACAAAAATATCGATTTAAAATTTTCAATTATAATAAGTCTATTTTTTTAAAGAATAATTTTATGTAGAATTTAAAAATATAAAAATAGTTGGGGTGTTTTATTACAAATAACAAAGTTTCTGTCACAAAATAGACTTAAATTAATTATAAACGCTTTTAAAATTTAAAGTCGATATCTTTTTCCGTTCCGTAAAGATAAAGTTTTTTTACCTGCAATATGAAATTGAAATTTAAAGAATTGAGAAAAATTCTTTATATCAAGGGTATTTACTTTACAATTTATTTTATTTCTTATTTAGACTACAGTACGCTTAAGGGTAATAAAACGAATGTTTGGTCCTGAACAATAAATCATATAAAAATTCAAATGCACTTTGCTAACAATTTTTTTACAAAACCTGATTTATATATTTTACAACGATTCTAAATGCAACATAAAATTCAACTTACAATTTGAAATATTATTCAGAGAAATATTTGAAATAAAACGTAAACATGCAACCCAAGATAAAAATTGTATGAATCAAGTTAAAAAAGGGGGCTCAACATCAAGATTAATAAATTAAGCAATTAACTTCGCATAAATTAATTTTGCAGTTCTTGCAAGCCTAATTATAATAAATAGTCTGGTCAAAAAGTTTTGCTTTAATAAAAATAAATTCGCAGCTGTAAAATAGCTCTCATATTTCATTAGCGGTAAGTTGAGGGAGCTTTAGCTAAAATGTGCAAGCTTTTGCAACGAAAACTCGGCAGTCATTTTAATCTTAAAACTTTCTAATTACTTTTGTTATTATCAGTTTGTATTATCTCTCGCGTATTTTAATGTTTTATGTATATTTTAAGTGGATTCTCGATGGTTTTTTGGGTAAAATATCGGCTTCTGCCGCATGCTAATCTTTAAAATATTGAACATCGCTAAACTAATTGATCATAAATTAATTAATAAACGAGCCAGGCAGTTTTACAACCCAGGCAAAATTAGGCAAATTGTTCCGTTTGAATAATGTACTCTCTGAAGTAATCGGCCATTTTTTTGGAGATTCGAATAGATTATGAAATTGTGATTTCAGCAATAGGCACATTCATACCTTTTATCTTTAAAAAAATGTTATTTTTAATTTTTAATTATATCTATATTAGGGTGTCCCTTATTTTTTATTTTTTTACGCACACCCTCTAATTATATTTATAACGTGTTTATATACTCCCAGTAAAAATTTCAGCTCATTCTATAAACGGGAACCAGTGCCGACTTGCATCTGAACCCTCCGTGAGCCAACGTTAGGCGCGCGGTATTTTGTAACACGGTTGGCCGCGAGGTCTTCGATCGTAAGTCATTTTGTGTTTGTTATTATGTGACCCTTATATTATAAATTATTGACAAATCTTAAAATATAGTTTTATTTATGTGTATACTTTCATAAAAATGTATATTTTCACAGGGAGTGGCTAGTTACCCGGAAGGGTCTAGTGAATATGCCGTAAACTCTGAAATTGATAAACTTAATGGGATTTACTCTAAATACCTAAAAGAGTCTATTGTGAGAGATGACTACCGAAAACTCTCTGAAATATTTTTGGGAGGACATCAAGAAAAGAAATGCTTATAAAAAGCTGAAATTTCATATAACAGTATATTTTAGCAATACTAATTAGTATATTAATATATTTAAGGGATAAATCAATTAATTTTTTTTTGGTTATTTTTTAGCTGTCATTCAGATATAATAAAAAAAAGAGTTTCGGGTAATTAGTTTTACGGCCTATTCCCTCGACACTTCCGGGTAACTAGCCACTTCCTGTAAAAATATTCATTTTTATTATTAAGTATACACATAAATAAAACTATATTTTAACATTTTTTAATAATTTATAATATAAGGGTCACATAATCGAAGACCTAGCGGCCAACCGTGTTACAAAATACCGCGCGCCTAACGTTGGCTAATGGAGGGTTCAGATGCAAGTCGGCACGGGTTCCCGTTTATAGAATGAGCTGAAATTTTTACTGGGAGTATATAAACACGTAATAAATATAATTAGAGGGTATGCGTAAAAAAATAAAAAATAAGGGACACCCTAATCTATATATATACAGTGTGTCGCACTTAAGATAAAGACACCCCCATATTTTCGCTATTTGAATGAATAAAGGTTTGAATTTTTTCACATTCATACATGTTGATGGGTCACATTTTTTAAGCTACTCAACTGAAATCTGAACTTTAAACTTGGCCTACTACAAATTCACAAACAGGGCCAGTTCTCGATATTTTGCTTCGCGTTAGAGATATCGAAAATAGTTATTGGAAAAAGTTGTTCAGAATATTATTCTAACCCCATATACCAATTTTTATAAATTCGCATTTTTAATTTTTTTTTATTTTGGTCCACACAAAATTATTACAAGTTCATTTTTTAGTTTGATAATAAGGGAGCCATGGAAAGTAATAATTTGAAACTAACTATAGTGTTTATGACCGTTAAATAAATAATTAAAACAATTTTTGGAAATTATAAATCAGTTATAATTTATTAAATTAAGGAAATGGTATAAAACAATAATAAAACTAATTAACAATATGGGGGTCTTCATCTTAAATGCGACACACTGTATATGGGTGATTCTACAAAAGTTGGACAACTTGATGTCATCAGTCAATAGAGTAGGTATTTTAATATTTTTTGTAAATATTTTAGTTTATTACAAAAGATCCAGGTTTTTTAACTTGTCCACCCAATTTTAATGTATTTTTTCAAAAGCACGTTTGTAGAAAAACATAATAAATATTCAAAACATCAGTACCTTGGCGTTTCACAACTTTTATTTTAAAATATATTCAATTTATCTTAAATTTTTCAATTTCAATACAAACTATAGAACATTAAATAATGTATTTTTCATATTTTATCATAGATTCGAATAATAGCAATTTTTAAAAAATTGGTGATCTTTATACTCACTTTTACCAATGTTAAAATTCAAAATTCCTACGAAATATAAGTTTAAACGTCAAGTCCTCGTTTTAACTCAAGTGTTACCTACAGAGCCCGCCCTTTGCACGACAGTCATTTTGAAAAAAATGCAAGCGGCGAAGTTGTGGTGAATGCACGTATAGTTCCAGTCAAAATTTCAGTACTGTGGTGAGTAGTTATTTTCTTACGTATATATATTTCATTGTAATTTATATAAGGCTATAATAATTTGTTGATAAGTAGCATCCACTAATAAAAAATATCAGTAAAATACTTAATTCCGAATTATAATCTCAAATTTGTCAGTACCGTGTCGTCAGTTCCATGTTCGATGTTTCGGTTATCTTTTTTGCTCAAACTTTAATTTAAATTCTGCTTGCGCATTTAATGTCATTATAAACTCATATAAATTTGGTGTGGGTCCCATATCTAATAATTGAGATATCGGTATACCCAAAATCCACCAGCCGCCATTGATGTGTGGTATTATTTGATTTTAAGATATTTAATGTATAATATGCTCAAAGTTGCAATAAATCTTATATTTTCCAATAAATTATGTATTTAATTAGTACCCGGTATACTCGTCACTTCCCTTGCATTCAAATTTAGAAAACACAGATATTTGAGAAACTGTTTGAAAAAGTGACTGGCCCGGTCTGGAACAGCATATTTATTATATTATCTATGTTCTCATAACAAAATACTGTTTAATTTTTTCCGAAAACCATATAAACAAAATGAGGTCAAAAGTTGCCCAACTTTTGTAGAATCACATTTATTTGGTTAATGGATACATTAAAATATTATACTCAATATCATCTAAAAAATTTCATTTAAAATTTCTCGTTGTGTCAAATTATTTGTTTACAACTCCTTTTAAAATAAATTTTAGTTTTGGTATTATTGCTTATAGCTTACCTGTATATAGGCTTTATATGTCCTTCTCGGTACCATAGAACCATATAAACTCTATCCTCTCGATGATCAGGTTCTATATTACATGGTAATGTGGCACTTCTACCCAGAACAGCATCGACTGATGAGAGAATTACTGAAAAAAAAATCGTTATGAATTTCAAAATTCAAATAATTAATAACTTTGTAGTGAAGTAATAATATTGTAATTTATTATATTATATTATATTTATATTATATCACGAGAACTATGAATTTAATCGGGTAAACTAGGCTCAGTTGTTTTTTGTTTGGTTTTTGTTGGAAAATGTTTTATTTTTAATTATTTTGCATGAAACTATTTTCCAAAAAGAAAAATCAAATAAAAAACTTACTGAGCATAGTTTGACAGATTAAATTTATAGGTTGAGTGATATACGTCTAGATTATTTCTCGAATTATTTGACCATTCATAAAATCTGACGTATGTGTCAAATTTTATAAATATTTTTTTAAAGAAAATTCCATTAATTTAAGGTATGTAATACGTAATAATTGATATTTCGTAAACTAGATAACTTATTTTTTATTGTTTTTTTAAAAATGTTTGTTAAAACTTGTAAATAACACCATAAAATCGAAAACAAAAATCCAATATGGAGGCTAAAATTTAATCGCTGTTAAATAGTTCTAGTGATTTAATCGCTTATTTAAACGAAATTTATTCGAAAAATCAAGGCTTTTGATTGGTTCATATTATATTGAGGGAAATAATCATGACTTAAATCAGCTTTCAGTCCTAACCTGTACAATTTCGGGAGAGAAACATTTTAATATGTCCAACAAGAAAACAATATTTCTTTTTGCAATTTTTATTAAATCCTTGACAGTAAAAGGCAGTTTTGAAATAAAAATTTGTCGTAAATGTGATAAAACACATATATTTAAAAATATTTTGCTAAACATTTTCGCCAAACAACTTCCTAAGTGTAAGCATGATATATGACACATTTCAAGCGAAGATTTATGTTCGAATGTAGCACACGAGTTTTCTTATTTTTACAAATATTTATTTGCTGGATTCATAGTATTAGTTAAAATGGAAATATTTTTAATATATAATGATCACACAATTTCCCTAAGCATCCTCCATTAAATCACCAAGAGCATGAGTTCATGAGATCATGAGCTGGCTAAATAGTCTTAAAAATACTAAAAAGTCAATAAAAAAAATAAAAAGTGTCCAATAACTATGTGGTTTACCCTAATATGAAATTAAATATGTTATACTGTGAGTACAGTAGAAAACACCAATATATGAACGTGACTCATCGGGTGCCGGACATATCTTAGACATGCTAGCAGTAATGTTTTACTTGTCTTGTACATTCGATGCAGCGGTAAATGTACTCACATGTAGGTTTTTAAGCATCCGGTCTAAAATGCGCAATCTGTGATGTAAAACTGCCTAGGTGTTCGACAAAGATGGACTTATGACGCGTGTCTTAGCTTGTTACTTATTTTTATTGGAATTCAGTAGAGTTCGTGTTTTAGGCAATTTATTTTATTTTATTACATAGTAAGGCAACCAACTCTACCGTCGGCCATTTGTTTTATATGTCATATATGACATCATATATGATCTTTGTTTTTGCATATCGTGTTTCTGCTGTGTGTTTACGGATTAATAATCGTTTTAAACGTTGTAGTGCTAGTGGTTTTTATTGCAATTGTTATTGCACGTTTATTGGACTTTGTTGCAATTGTTATTGTACGTTTTTTGGACTTTAAATAAACGGTGTGTGTTTACGGATTAATAATCGTTTTAAACGTTGTAGTGGCAGTGGTTTATATTATGTAACACAGGTAGATGTCGTGTAAAAATCCTTACCTAGATATTCTAGTCTAGAATACAAAAATATTTTTATTATATAAATTTTGTACTGTATTAGTTTAATACATTCTGAAGAAGCTACTGTGTAGCGAAACAATTGTCAATATTTAATAAATTTCGTGAAACTAACGCAAGTTGTTTTTATATCCACACAATTTAAATATCTTTCACTTTGTACCTGACCTGCGTAAACATTTTTGTTTTTTTGTCACCAATTCTGAAATATTTGCGTTTACAGTTAAAAGAATAGTATATTCTGTAACAAGTTTGGAATACGGCATATTCCGCTCGAGTGAAAAGTCTGTCACACGATCCGAAGGCGAGTTTGACGGTTTCACGAGAGGGGAATATGCAATTCCAAACGTGTTTCAGACTATACTTTTTCTACGTTTCCAAAAAATACCATAGACAAAGAATTTAATTAGAAGAAAGTGAGGTTGGATCGGTATAAAATTTGTTAGATATTAAAAACAGAGATGTCGCCACGAGTGTACATTCTGTCATCAGATGATAGAATATTTCATTAAAGTTAAAAGAAAAGTTTATTTATTAATTAGTTTCTAAGAAAATTACATTTTATTTAATTATCGAAGATGTTAATTATTAAAATTTAACTTTAAAAGCAAATATATAAGAAGTATAGCAACCAACATTACACTCAAGATTTTTTACAAATACTTATGCTCCCGTTAGAACAGCACTGCACTGGACCGTGACCTTCGATAGATTGTTTCGTACGATTGTGCCTGATGAGTCACGTTCATATATTCGTGGTTTCTACTGTACATATAAAGATTAATTTAAAAATTGAGGAGTAGTAGTAGTTGCGTTGCATCGTTTAGGTAGCTAATAGGCATTAAAACATTAATGAGCTTTGCAAAAGCATTCATAAAGCAAAATTAGATTGTACCCACACGGTTTACGTGCATGCTAAATTGCCTTATAATAAATTCTTCAAGTGATAGTAAATTCTTGGAGACGAGGCCGGATCCTTTGTGTGTCTTGTGTCGTAAATGCGCTCAAGTAGAGTGATAAAATTGTTTGGAAAACTATCATATAATTGCCTGGCATAAACCGCTTCGTTAACTTTAATTGTCTACAAAATGGCGTACACGATTTCAACAAAATGATGAATTCATTTCGGCATTATTGTTTTATGAATTACCTTAAACCCATTTTGTTTTATTGCGCTGATTAAAATGTCTAGCACCGCCGGTATTTAAGAACAATACGACCGCTTGATTATCCACAATAAAACTCGATGATGTGGCCTATTCCACAGCAGTCTTATCTCACAATAAAACGCCACTGTAAATATTACAAGAAAATTAATTTTCAGGTCTAGCTTTTTATAATTTTTTAGGCAAGTACAGTAAAATGTTTATGAACATTACTCTTTATTTACTATTTGGTAGTAATTAAAAAGTACGAGTAGTAGTAATACTATTACTGTAATAGTAGTAGTAGTAGTACATACCTATTTTCAGTCTATTTATGTAGGTACCTATTTTAATATTTTGAGGCTAGCAATGAAATAATATTACCTGTATTACGTATCAATATAATTTTTTCAAAATGAAAGTGAATAAAATGTTTAATTTGCACGAAATTGAGTTAAATCTAGTTTACTGCCGGCGAAATTAAAAGGTCAGTACAATGTTCATATAAACTTTTCATCTTAAAGTCAAATCATTAGATGACGCTGTATAAAATTATATATATCTCAGTCGGTAGTACTTTATTTTGGATCCAATATAGGACAAAAAAGTTCGCACGTTACTTAAGTAAGATTTTTGTTTTTTTGTTAAGAGCAGGGCTGTGTTTAAATTACAATAAAAAATATTTATAAAAAGTATACAGATCAGTGTGTGGTATAAATGATTCTTCATAGTTTAAACATTGTCACTTTAATGCGTTTTAATTTTAATTCTGAAAACAAACAGTAAAATGGCCAGTGTCCAATTCCTGGTGGGTAAAAAATTTAAATTTTTATTATTGGACATATGTCCAATATCACACTTTATTTGTATCCAGGACATTTACCAGCCGATTCTTATGTAAAAATGTCCCCTAAATTCGAAAAGACCTATAAAAGTTTTTGAGATACCTATAGTCAATTCAATATTATATGTAAAATTGATTATACTATTTCAGAAGTCTGACCATGGAATTAGTAGTTACCTTCAGAATCCAGAAAATGGATGAGGAATCCGAGAAAAAAATATATGAATTATATGATATTTACAAAAACGAAATAAATTTTGTTATCTAAAACAGCAATTTATCTTTAAAAAGTATTTAACAATTTATGTTATTTGATGTAAAGTTTTTATGTTTATATAAAAATTGCATGTCCAATAACTATGGTCCATGTGTCCAATTACTATATAATATGTCCAATTACTATACTTGTATGCATGTTTTATAGAAGTATTATTAAAAATTCAAATATTCTTATTTTTTAGTAAACGTAGATAAAGTTTAAACAAACAAACTATCCTTTTTATATATTTATAAGAAAAAACTATAGTTAATATTCCATAGTCCATATATGGACTATGGAATATTAACTATAAAATTAAAGGAGGCTTTAATGTATAATCAAGCCACCGCGAACTGATGGTATTATAATATCGACCTGCAAACAAACACTAGCTGAAAACAAAAACACTCGAACTAGGAAGTGATTGTTGCGGTATTCCTGAGCATCGCAGGAAGTGAAATTGTGTTGGCATTGAGGCGAGCAAACGGGAAGCTTTAATATTGTTTGGTAAATTGAACTAGTATCAAGGGGATTATTGGATAAAGTTACAAAAAGAAACGTTAAAACCCCTTTCTATTCATTTGTTGCTAGCCTTACAAATAAATAAATAGAAGAAAATGTAATGTAACAAGTATCGAATAACTTAAACAGTTATTTACATTTATTAGATAATTAACTAACTTTTCTTTCAAATTGAAGTACAAAAGTTATTGGCCAATGTAATTTAATTAAAAACATGTCCCTCATTGGAAAACTTCTAAACAACATTTATTTGTGTTGCCATCTAAAAACAAGAAAAAATTGGTAATACATCTTAAAGAGTGTCGTTAAGAAATTGCTTTCCGAAGATAATTTTTATCAGAGCTGCAGTGGCTGGGTGACACTATCAATTTAATTTGATGGATTATTAGAGAACCGAGTAATAAATCAAAATAGGTTTTATGTTTTTCAAAGTTTTATTGGTTTAATGGATAAGTGGATGTAATAACAAGATTTCTGGAAAATAGTTCATAACTTTTGGAAATTAACCAATAAACTTAATTTTACTGTAACCGGTTAAATAATTATAATTGAATAGGGTAAACCACATAGTTATTGAAAATTTATATATGCCGTTGTTTTAAAGGTTTTAGTTTTTTTCTTATTATTATTTAAAAAGGATAGTTTGTTTGTTAAATATTTTAGTATTTTCCGAATTTATTAATTTTGTTGCCATTAGTTTTTTATGTTCTCTATCATGCACTATATTTAAATCAGTTATTCTGCAAGATGTCCTGTGACGAAGAAATCCCTATATTACTTACTCTCTAAAAATGAATTAGTCAAAAATATCATAGCGAAAAAGCAGCCACTAATAATTATCGTCAACAGAAATTTGTATCCAGGGCATTTAGCAGTCAATTCCTATGAAATATTATTCGCTGAATCCGAAAATGTCGTCAAAAGTTTTAAAAGTAAAACAGTTTTTGAAATATAATCAATTTTACATGTAATATGGAATTGACTATATCTCAAAAACTGCTTAACTTTTATAGTTTTAACGGTCTTTTCGGATTTAGGGGACAATTTTACATAAGAATTGGCTGGTAAATGCCCGGGATACAAATAGAGTATGATATTGGACATATGTCCAATAATAGAAATTTACATTTTTTACCAACCAGTAATTGGACACTGGCCATTTTACTGTTTGTTTTCAGAATTAAAATTAAAACTCATTAAAGTGACAATGTTTAAACCATGAGGAATACATTTATACCACACACTGATCTGTACACTTTTTAGAAATATTTAAACACAGCCCTGCTCTTAACAAAAAACAGAAATCTTACCACCAAAGTAACGTGCGAACTTTTTTGTCCTATATTGGACCTAAAATAAAGTAGTTCTATATTATTACCGACTGAGATAGTTATAATTGTTTACAGCGTCATCTAATGATTTGACTTTAAGGTAACTATTTGCAGAACTCTTGTTTTTACAATATTAATGTTAAAATTTTACAAAAATTATTTTTTAAATCAGTCATTAAAGTAGTAAATTAATGGGTCTTTCAAGTTAAATATCCATCAACGTAATTTTATAATGGTGCACAAATTAACGTTTGTGATTCCTCAACATTCGATCCATATATTTAATTTAAAGGTGAAATAGCAATTTGGCCAAAATTAGAAACTGCCCTATTCTATATTAAACGAATTGATTTTCCGCGGACACCTGTACGGAAAATAAACGAAAACAGCAAAATGCAATTGAATAATCCAGTGCACTATGACATAAGCACAAAGAAAAAGAAATTAAGCAAATTTTTTGAAATGTTGAATTAAAAAAAAATATTGCCCAAAAATAATATATATTTTAAATAACGCACTCTAAATTAATTTAAAAAGTGTATTCTGTTTTTTGCCAATTTTGACAAGTTTTGTTGTGTTGTGCGATTCCATAAAACCAATTTAGCTGGGTTTTCTATATCCTTACAAAATTTGCCTTTGACCTAATTTTATTCTCTTTAGCCTTTATTAACTGTTTTAATCAACATTGACAAACGATTTCTTAAAAAAATCACAGAACTTTTTAGAATCATTTGTTCTTTAAATTTGTAAATATTTTATCTAGTTTTTAAAGAATTTAAGAACAATTTTTGAAACAATCAATTAATTAATGGCCACCCAGATCTCTAGATCTGACACCATTAGACTTTTTATTTTGGGGTCATTTAAAATCTGTTATCTATAAAACTCGGCCTCATTCTATTGAAGATCTGCGACAACAAATAGTTTAAGAATGCTGAGCTATTCCAAGACAAACATTCGAAGGGAATTTGACTATTTGACTATTGCTTACAAAATAATGGGAGTCATTTTGAGCATTTAATTTAAAAAGTTAAAAATTAAAGTGTTTTGAGTATTGTTGAACAATTTCTTTATTTATGTTTTTTTAGTTTATTACACTTTTTTTAGAATTATTTTCTGTTCTCTAAGCCTATATAAATAGTAAAAAGTAAAAGCAGATAAAAAC